CCACACGCATTTCGCGCGGTCTTGATTGCACAACGACAACAACAATAATAATAATAAGGATTTATAGCCGGACGAGGACGTAATATTTTCGTGGTACGTGAGCCAACGACACGTGTTAAATGCAAATGAATACTGTTGCAGTGTTACGGCCATCGCCGTCGCGGGTACGAGGATTTAAAAAACAGGTCGTCGAATTATCTCTACTCCGATCTCTGTAACGGCCACCGCCGTCAACGCCACGGGAAGTCTGGCCGGGAAATTCAAGAAGCACTCTCGCCACAACAGCCTTAGCGGCCGATCGCTCGGTCGCAATATACGTGCGTCGTCCCAGCGATCACGACCCCACTAACCTATAAATAATTTTCGTCGGATACACCAGAACGTATGAGTACCCAGGGTGTTATTCGCGTTTAATCGATATTGCGTTCGACGAACGCCGGAGAATTTGACGACCGCGTTATCCTTTTAATAATAACGCGTTATACCCACCTGTTAGATTTACGGCGGGGTAGTATTTGAGCGCGCCGAAGAGGGGGCATTTTACGGGCGCCACATTTCAAACGGTCACGTGATGGGCGGCCGATGTCACCAACAGTTGGTAAACATTAGTTTTATGTTTCGTATATTTATTATTACTTCAAACCACTTTTCGACCGGGATCGGGGTCGATCCGATCGTCAACTCCAGAGCTGATTTTCGGTACGAAAAACGTATAATGTGTACACGAATTTAAGAAAAAACGATCTTGTTCTTTTTTCTGGTTATTAAGAGAAACCGTCGTTTTTTTTTTTTGTTCCACTGCAGTTCTTTTCTTTCCGAATCGAACGTCTACCGCGTGTAATTCGCTATGCACGCAGCCATTTTTTATTACTATTCCGCCGTCTACCGCTACGGACGCCCCGAAAGTCTTTTGCTCCGACGCAGATTCGATTATACGCGCGCTATAATATTTTCACCGTGCTCCGGAATAAGGCCTCTGGCAGCGCATTCTCGCTCCCACTCCGGTGTCATCCATCCTCGGCTAAAAACAATGATTGTTTCGTATTTACCGCAGCTGCACTGTAACAATATCGCACACGTTATTACATTATGTTGTATAATACACGTACCCGTCGGAGAAACACCGCGGCATATTCCGTCCTACAGTCATGGGAATTGTCGAAAATCGTCAGTATTCAAGTCGGCGGGCTCGGCTAATTAGTAATTATTATTATAGTTATTAACTCCGCGGCCGTATCATGAGACGGTTCACCCGCCCACGAAGCCGCCGCCGAGATTTCACCTCCGCGGTATAACGCGTACTCCCACGACTCGTGCATATCACAATAATGTAACTCGCTCGGGGGGGAAATAGAGCAGCCCTCCCACGCGACAGCTTTCCGTAGAGTAGCCGGTACGTTTAATATTTATTTGCCAAATACACTGTAATTATTTATAATATTGCATATGACCGTACGTTATTATTTCGTTCTTTCCGCCGTATAATTATACCGTTGTCACGGTATACGGTCGGACATTCGGATCGGCGTTCGAGTTTTGCAGTTTTTCAATTATACATTGTTGTTAGACATTCAAAATACGCGCGTTTCGCAACGAACGGACCCGGATATGTTATACGGGTACGTAGAGCGTGTGCGTGTACACGGGCGCGTCGTGAAAACTCGTCAAAAACACCGTTGAAAAGCGTCCGGAGTACAAATACAGATGTGGTTGTACGAGAAGTCTTAGAAATATGTATAAGTATTTGAGTACTTGGCAAAACAAAATTGCAGCGTGCGGATACTTTTCAAATGTATTTACAAAGACTTTCTAGACACCGGACTTTCTGGATACCGGGCGAAGTATTGAAGCGAATAATTACATTTTACTCTCTACTGCCTTCCCAACTTCTCACCAATAACCGTGGCTGCACCGGTCCTATTATCCTAGGGAAGCTGTTATAGATATGATTATAATACGTTCAAAATATTCTGAAAATTGCTGGGCTATTTATAGACATTTTAAATGTTAGAGTTTTTAGGCAACGCCGAAATGCAAATTGAACTTTGTACAAAATGCTCATCGTGAGTAGTACTTAATGCCGAAAAAAAAATCCGAGTGTAATAATATAATAGTTTTTTTTTTACGCGCTTAGCGTTCAAATCGTAATAATTACGGTATTTCTAAACGTGTTGTGTTGAACAACATAAATCAAATTATTCTATGCATTTTACCTTTGCAACTTATAACCTTTCCCATCTATAATAATTATGCATCCATTAGCTATATTAGATCTTTTTTTTTTTCCATTCATTTTCTACTCGTTTAACTAATAATCGTCGATAATTTTCTTTTATATATTGCAATCGATTTTATTCATTTTTATTAATTTGAAATCAAATTTTTATGATATTTTACAAGGCAGCATTTATTCGTGAGTCTTTTATTTCGAGTTATTACACTTTTGGTCCCAGGAAAGGAGGACTTCTCAAGTCAATACGTACGGGTAATTTCGTATAGTTTTCAATACAATAGCAAATTGAAATATAGAAAATTTGCCACGTGACAGTTTTCGGTATAACTGCGCGCGTCAGAATTCAGAATGTAATACATACGCAATAGTGCCGTTAATAAACCAAAGAATAAATGGAAAAAAATCGAGCAAAATTATTAAAAAAAAAAAAAACGAAAAAATCCACAAATAGATCCCTATCTCTTTTGGAACCGAGAACACGACTATAATATAAAAAAAAAAAAAAAAAATCGCATTCCGAATACAATAAGTATTTTTAGATACGCCCTAAATGCGTTTTCTAATTGATTGTTTCCGAACGCGCGTTAATATTATTAGTAATAACAGTGTACCGAAGCCGCAAATTATCGATATTTTCACTTTGCTTTCCGAAAAACCGATCTCCGTTGACGTTATACGTTATTATTATTACACGGTACCCGTCGCATACGGTTGCAGCGCGTTAATAATATAATAAGATAGCCACGGGATCCGTCTAGGAACGGAATCGTAAACGTTTTCGGCCGAATTAGAATTTATTTTTTTATTTTTTTTTTTTTCGGAGTGTGTCCGTGCACGCCGTCCAGGTTAAGCCCGCGTAATCGTACACGGTACGGTAAAATATTATAATATTACGTTACGTTCCCGCGTCGCCGTGGGGTTTTTCTCTTTGTCGCTGCGGCCGCGGCGCGTCGAACGGGTGCTCGACTAATTTTTGAGCAAATAACACCGAGCCGACTGTTTTTTTTTTTTTTTTCGATTTAGACAACGATCACGACGACGGTCCATTATGTATCGCACGACGGTTAGATATAAGTGTTTTTTTTTTTTTAATATTTTTATCTCCGGGTCGAGGTGAGAGAATAGCTACCAATGTGCACACACGTACAGGTATAGGTATACGATAAAATATTTTATTATTATACGTGTGCGAGCGCGTAAAAGCGTTTATTATTATTATTATTTATTTTTTTTTCCTACACGGGGTGTATAATATTGTAATGCGGGTTCGTCTACGTTAATAATATATACGCATACGCGCGTAAGAAAAATCGTATACACGCGATGACGGTGCGTGTGCGCCGTACCGCACGTATTATAATGCGCGGCTCTCGTAGAAACTGCCGTGCTTTCTAAAAAAAAAAAAAAAAAAAACCAAAAAAAAAAAAAAAAAAACCGAAAAAAAAAAAAAAAAAAAAAAAAAAAAGTTTAAAAATACGCATATGTGTCTGAAAAAACCGCAGGCGCTGGTCAGGTCGTGCTTGTGCGTTTCGTATGACCCCGGCGCGCGCGCACATTTGTGACCTTCCGAGAGGATCGCGCACCCGCACGGTCGGGGCGGCGGCTGTGCAACACAGGCGCACGCCCGCATACCTGTATACGTGCACGCGTGTATGCGCGCACGCACGCGTATACAATATACAATATACAATATACAATATACAATATACGACCGCGTAACGTACGTTGTCGCAGGCGCGTCGTACGCGAACCGTACGCGTCACGCGAGAAACGCGCGATAACAATTTTCTTTTTCGGCGGATATCCGCCGGCGACGGCGGCGGCGGTCGCTACGCGCGCGCGCGACACGATAACGTTGCGCCGTCATTACGCGATGCGGCGCCCGCGACGACGACGGGGCGGCCGGTAGCGTCGTCCGCGGTATGATCGTGGGCCGCGTACGGTGTACGAAAAAAACGCGGGCGCGCGCGCGAAAAACCGAAGGTGTGTTTTTTTTTTCTTCCGTAGCACGACACCCTGTGCCGCGTAATTCGAAAATCACGATGATCACGATCTCTTCACACGTACCGTTGTGTGCGTACGTCGTCCGAAATGTGTGTGTAAAATAATAATAATAATAATACGCGCGTACGTACACGGTGCGCGACGGAGCGATATGATATTTTATTTTATTTTTTTTTTTTCACTATTATTATTCATTGTTATTATTATAATACGTTCACGCCGCCGTAAATCGCTCGAAAACCGCCGAAAACCTCCGGAAATCTCTACTTGTTATTATATCGAATTGCGCGCCGCCGCCTCCGCACGATTTTTTTTTTTTTTTTGTTTATTCCGTGTTTTACTATTTTTAACGTTATTGCTGTTATTATTATCATTATTACTATACTTTTTACGCTACAAAAAATAACTGTTTTTTTTTCCTCTTTGATTTCGCCATCGAGACACGCCCTCCGGCCGACGCGTGACGGCGGTAGCTATAATCATATTACGTTATCGTATATAAGTCTCTTTTTCTGTTAGTCTTTTTTTTTATTTTTTGGAAGTCATATAATAATATATAAAAATACAACAGTTTCAAAATGTTTTACGAAGGATCTTTCTTTTTCAAGAAGTATTTCAAATTCCGAACGAAGCCAGACGATTATAAGATTTTTCATTTATAAAGAAATAAAGAAAAACAATTTTTTAGGTTACGGTGAATTTATTTATTTATTGACAATTAAACTAATTTATAAATACAAAATATAGTACTTATGAATTGTTACGTTAGTCAATGAGATTCAGTTCAAGTCAGAAAAATTAAAGTAAACAAAAAACTATTGGTGTTTATCATTTCAGGGTAACTTCTTCAAAACGTTTGGTCTACAATGTCAATAGTATGTATAACCACCATTCAACAGCTGATTATATTGTCTTCCGATAGCACTTCCTCAATGTCACAGTTAAGGTTGTTCCTCGCGGTTTCAATTGGTTTAAGAGCCAATCGCATAGTCCTTGGCCGGTACCGATGAAATTGAAACGAACTTATGTTTTGCTCGGGAGTTCCATTTCAGGTTTTGCGCCATTCTGTTTGAAGTAGGTTCGGGTTGTTGTTGTTGTAATCGATGTCCAGGCTTTCTGTTATGTTAAGTACGGAACTTAAGGCGGGGTATTATAATTCCACCCCGATGGATGGGAATTTGGAGTGTTTATTGATGCCGATCTAAACACTTCGCATTCAGTTCAATATTCATAAATTAGAAATAAAACACAAAAACTGCTATTTAAGTAGATACATAAAATATGAACCAATGTTAGCTGAAAGTATACCACAAGTTCCCATTGTAGAATAATTGAAATTTGTTTAAATTGTTTTATATAACGCTGTTTATTTTGGGATAAAACGGAACCGGCGATAGAGGGGGTACTCAACAACCCTCCCGCTCCCATAAACGAATTCGAAAACTTAATCACAGTTTAATTTTAAATTTGTCAAAACTTATTTTATTTTCATTTTTTTTTTTTTTTTTTTTATTAGGTATCTATATTATACACTAATAGTTTGATTGCCATTACATTAATATCGTCAAATTCATTGCTTACCGAAGGACAAAACGGTGGGATTTTTTTTTTTAAGTCAATAAATGTTGACATTTGTAAATCAGACAATTTATTTACTTTACAACCATCCGTCGATTTTCGTTAAAGCAGGTTCTGGTCTGAGATTATGCGAATCAACAACTATTATATTAGTATACTTTAGTTTATTCTAACCGGACTTTTCCAAGATAATGTTTAAAAAATAAATAAACATAGTCTATCCGTGTCCTAAATTTACGAACATATAACCATCATAGATTGACAGCGTTTCTCTTTTTTAGTTCCCCCAAATATTATTGTGTAAGATTTGTTGTTGTTGTTGTCTAAATACAATGCGTTATTTGTGTTTGCTTTTTTTTTTTTTTAGTTTACATTTTCAAAAAAAACTTCCGTCATAATGTCGTAATCAATATACGTCATCTAATGCGGTTTAAAATTGAGTTTTCATCCTTGGTTTTTGAATTATGCGAGTGCGCAAAAACGCGAATTTTAATTAGACGTACTTATAATTAATATTGTAGGTACACAAAATTATTATTTTAAACCAAATAAGTATTGAAGTCTATATAGATTTAAAAAAAAATATAGTTACCCAATGCAATTCGTAAATGATTTAGTATATTTGTATTGAAGGTCAGATTTATTTTGGCCGTTATTTGTTGTTTTTTTTTTCAGTGTAATTTAAATTTGAAATCTTTTATAATTTGTATTATAATTTTTATTTTTATTCAGCTCGAAAAATAGTTAGTCACAAAATTGAAAATGGATTTCAGACGTGCTATTATATTTTTAGGTTAAGGAGCAAAGACAAAAACGAGTATATATTTAAAAAATATTTGTAGCTAAATTAAAAAAAAAAACGTAATACTGTTATTTTTTTTTTTTTATCAGCTGTACATTCTAGTTGTATTCAAAATGATAACGAATTGAAAAACGTAAAAAATGTCTTGATTTTTGAAAGTGTCGACTGTATTATACTGTTGACATTTTGTGATGTATACAAATTCACCGAGACAACAAAATAGAAAAAAAAATATCACTCAACTCGTTAAAATCGAAAATCAACAAACCATCCGTGAAGGCAAACATGTCCTGAACATTTACGAATTCGGTAATATATCGATAATAGTTTCTTTGGTGATATTTTTTTTTCAACTAATATTACAAAGCGTTTTTGAAGGTGGTGCTCTCTGTCCAAGCAGAAACCAAACCTTGCACTAAAATATAAGAATTTGCTTATTTGTGTGTCAACTATAGAAAATAAATGGTGACGATAATTCGGGTAGTTTTAGTATTGAAATGTAGGAAATGCTCTCACTGGTCGGAGGAAAGATAGCCGGGGAATGTACGAAAGTTTAGCGACAGTTTTGGCTTATCTGCTCGTGGACCTTTGTTTCGAGGGAGTGGATATTCAGTAAAAAAAAAAAAAAAAGCCCCGTGACGTCAGAACCCATTATACCAGAAACGTGCAATTATCTCGTTATTATCTTATTTTTTTACGCGTGTGTCGACTCGGACGCAACTTTTCACACGGCGGTTATTCTGTCGATTGCACACGGTCTACACAGAACGCCAGAGTGCAACAGGGGTTAATATCCGAGACGTTTATCGTCTGATGCGCAGCGTTTAAAAATTAATATCTCTTAAGACGAGTGCACAGTTATACGTGTTACACGCATTGGGTGTACTTGTACGTTTTATGAAACACGACGGGCCGAGCCGGTAGCCGACTCGGTACGCTGTTCGTTTACATTAAATGTATTATAGTGTGATATTATAAACGACGAGATAAATAAATGAAAAAAAAAAAAAACAACAACACACCGACGAAACGACCCGGTGTAATACTTAATTTATAATAATATTTAACAGAGGACGGACCTATATATATATGCAAGTACATTTGTCTTTATAATGTTATTATATTTTTATGTTTACACCGTGTCTATCCATCGTCTCGTCTCGTAGTCTCGTTTGTCCGAAACGTCCGGTGATGAGCGGGTTTGACCTCTATTTTTTCATTTTTTTTTTTTTCTTTATACGTATAAAGCGCCGTCGAAGGATAGTCCGTGTGTGTGTATACCGCGGGTACCCAAGTATATATACGTATACAGTCGGATATTTTGTGCACGCCCCGAGGGGTTGGGTGTCAGAAGATAAAATGCAGAAGTTAAGAAGTTAGAACACCGATAATTATTATTATCGTGCGGCGAGCTATATAGTAATATTATATCCGCGGCTATAGTGAAATAATGTGACGTAATTTATAATCTAATGTTTTCACGTAAAAAAAAAAAAAAAAAAAACATACTCGCGCCGGAGAGACGTGTGCGATAATAAGCGGCTAAAAACCCGAAACATACCGTCGTCTGTTTTGAAACTGTTAAAAACGTACAATATTATACATCCTGTATAGTAGGTACCTATACACACCACTCGTAATACGAGTAACGAGACTAAATTATTACACGAGTGGCGTCTACATCACGCGGCGCGTTCCAAATGCCAAAACTCGTACAACACTTCATCATGCACGATAACTATACAATAAAAACGTGTAAAGAAAAAAAAAAAACGAAAGACGGACGTGTTTCGGCACTTCGCGTCACAATGGGCGTGCCGCTGTTATAGTTGGGAAATCGGGAAGGTAGAATATATTATATTATAGTGTATCGGGGTAGACACATAGTTTAATTTATATCTGTACGCGACGATAAATCATTGCCATGACGAAAAACGATTCTGAACGAAATTCGATAGAACGTTTTTTCGATGGTTAAAAATTGCATTGTTAAACTGTTTTTGTCTCAAACATTTAAACAATTTCGCTGGACCGAAAAATCGGTGTTTTTCACCAAATTTTAAACTTTTAACGATTATAAATAAAAGTAGAATTATAAGAATAAATGCGTCGATGAACTTAATTACGCAATTTTCTATCGTTTTTAAGTTTCCAACACTTTTTAATTAAAAAAAAAAAAAAAACTCTAAAAGCCTCGTCAATTTCAAATAGCTCAATCAGATAGCCGAAAAATGGTCAGGTTTTTTTTTTTTGAAACTATACCACGTCTAAAAAGGCCTATTATAAGAATTGAAAATACGGTGAATTTTCAGTCGCTATGATTATTTTTACCGAATTACATTTAACTAAAAAGAAATTGCAGAAATCATTATCGGGTAAATTTCCTTGTTTTTCAAATTATTAAATTATTAAGTGAATTTCAAGGAAAATAGGAATATCACCTGGCCAGCGTGTGTCTAATACACCAGAATACCAGAAACTTCACCTTAAATTGGTGATCAAGGCAAGATTTCCGGTAGAAAAGGTGAAAAAATCAGAATCCTAAAGGATAGTTTTCCCCGTAATTTTATTACTGGTAGGAAAATTTCGGATTTTTCGAAGTGTGACAGTCCGGATTTTCGGAATTCGTAATCCGAAAATGTATTTAAAATCGGGATTACGGAAATTTTGAATTTTCGATAATTTCAGCTATTTTTCATACACAATTCAAATACTAATTATGATTACAAATTTTGTGATCCAAAATTAGAATTTTCATATTTTTAAAGTCTAAGTCGAATTTTCGGATTATCCGGATTTGTGTCACATCGCCAAATTGTACAGGTTTAATTTAATTCTAAAAGCCCGTACATAACATTGTATACGGTACCGTGCGAATATTATAATAATAATCATCCGACGGGATTCCAATAATATTGTAAAACTTTGATTTTAACGGATGTCTACTGTATACCGTTTGCTTTTTCGCTATAAATTTGACATTAAGTATTATATTCGATTATTCGAACGCGTATTAAAAAAAAAAAAAAATTACGTTTTTTCCCCTCTTTTAATACGATTTTTTTTTTTTAACGAACTACCGGGTACCATATAGGTACGTTATAAAACGAAGTACATAAATATTTTATGGGAAAACGACGGAGTCGGGTGTATAGAGAAAAACGTATTGTACGCGCGGGGCTTACATATATTATAATATAGTAAAATCGTCGTCGGTATTTTAATATAGTGTCCTCGAGTTATCGTGTAGAAAAATAAAAATAATACCATTGATAATCCGCTTTCGGGTGATGCGATGCTGCAGGAACTCGCATAAATCTCGGTTATGTACATTGTATACCCGAACACGTCGCATCGTATATATATATATAGGTACCGAGACTTTCCTGAACGGTTCTTCAAAAAGATTCCGACCATATTATATAGCTACAACTGTGGGTACGTACAGTTTCACGGAGGCGATACTATACAGGGTGATATATTAGCGATTCGAATTACGTATAGATATTATTTTTTTTTTTTTTTTTTTCCCCCGGGGGCCCGTCACAATATTATTGTGATTGCCTATTATCATCGTTGTTATTTATGTACGGGCGCGCGACCGGAGACGAGATATACCGGGTGACGGCACCGGCGATGATAGTGGTGCGTCGCGGAGGCATAATAATCGCACAAAAGGCGTCTGCAAGGCTGTCTGCGTCGTCTGGTCGGTCGGTTTTGCGCTTATACGATATGCCTGCGCTGTGCTGTTAGAATGAAATGCGCGAAAAATATAATTTATAGGGAAATAACGGACAATGGATTTTCGGTTGTGATGTTGCGGCGTGTAGTACGGCGACGACGACGACGACGACGGAGATCCGTGTAGGTAAAAAGGCCCGCCCGTGTACGGAGACGGTTTATGAACATAATATACGTGCACACGCTATGTGCCGTACAACAATATTAATTTCGCCGAGACTGCGCGATGCTCGGCGGTGACGACGGTGATATATTAGCGCGCGCGCGTTCGGTCGCCGAGTTTAATAGAATATAATAATATTATTATTTACTGTAATGTCGTATAGAAGAGGACTTAATGACCCGTGAAAAATCGGCCGTCGACAAAAGCGCCGTTGTCGTATTCGACCGCGACGAGCAGCACACGCGCGCGCGTCTATCCGATTCTCCCCGGCGGCGTTCTTGTTTGCATTTTAGGGGTCAAAACAACGAGCACGCCGCCGCCGCCGCCGCCGCTGTCGTCGCAACATTAAATAGGAAAACGTTTTTTTTTTTTTTTTTTTTTTTTTTCAAATTATTTCGACTACGCCCGCCCGTCTCCGTTGCACATTGGTCCGTGCCTTTGATTCGCCCCGTCCAATCGTTCGTCGTCGTGTCGACTCGCGTGTACTTATATTGTTGTTTCCGTTCGCCCTCTATTATCGCCCCCCGAATTTATAGCATATCAGTGCAGTATAATAAACAAAACGAAACCGTTTTATTTATGTAGGTACGTGCAATATAATAAACTGTATCTGCAGCCATCACCCGGTCTTGCCCGGGTTTTATTTTGCAAGTAATCCGGGAATCGACAAACAAAAAAAAAAAAAAAATGTAGGGACGGTATAGGGTGATTTTATATGGGGTGGGTAAAATTTAATTTATATCCGTACGCAACGATAAATCAATGCTGATGAAAAACGATTCCAAGCTATGTTCGGTTAAAACACAGTGGTTTTTACGATTTTCGTTGAAATTCGTACTTGCAAGAAAAAAAAATACAGTTTTTTTTTTTCAAATAGTATATTACTCGCTAAGACACAAAACGGACTTCATGGTGGGCCAAAACAATTTTATTCACAGAAAACCAATTAGAAACTAAAAAGTAAAAAAAAACGCAAAAATTGACTATGAATAGCCAAAAATCTTTGAACTGAAAGTGTACGACGCACAGAAAGTGTCCCTAGCTAACGCGCCCACTAGAAAATAATTTCTATCAGAAACAATCCCTAACGTTGATGATTGGATCAAGTCTGACTGGTAGAAGAGTAAAGTTTTTAACAGGCAGAAAAAATACATCATAGTAAAACATTTGAATGGATTTGATTAAACGAATATCTATTGAAGTATATTATAGTAATTTATACAAAAGATTGAGTCTCATAATTTTTTGCTATAATTTATGGTTAAAAATGAATAAACACATTTTCAAAGTTTTTTTTTTTTTTTGCTCGTCAGTTAATTATTTTTAAAAATTGGGACTCTCTAATAATAGTTTATTTTTTTTCAATCCGTGCCACCGAGGTAACGGCCCATAAATAAACAAAAACAATTACATTTTTTATTAATTTAATAAAGTTCAAGTGCCGTATAGACTCTAGGGGTTTGAATTCCGGGATTCAAAGCAGTCTTTGCAGTTACGCCTGAGAGAAAAAAATAGGCGCTGAATCTTTCAGCGAAAGTCCCGTCGGAATCGGTTCAGCCGTTTCCGAAATTAGCCCAGACAAGCATACAGACAGGCTTTTGAATTTTATTTATATAAAATATTATAGTTTTTGTCGAGTAGCTACGGGAGTTTTTGTTTTTTATTTATGAATTTAATTTTTTTACGCAATTCATTGGGTTCTATTTTGATAATTCGTGTACACGAACATATTTAAGTATATAATAAATAAATATGTATATTTTTATACGATTTTACAGATAACAAAAAACCAATGCCAATATGTTTTCTAATCGATTCAATATAAGAATTTATCATGACGTTTAATATAGTATTATATATTATAATATTGTTCGTGAAAACATATAATTCATACATTAAAGTTATTTATCGTTTTTCTCTTCTTTTTTTTTTTTTACTATTTTTACATTATCGTGTGCGATTTCGAAAAGATAGATAAATAATTCAAACCGAGTTATCTTAAGTTTCAATAATAAAATACACGAGCAAAATTTTTATTTATTCGAACATAAATTGTCTAGATCCTTCACTTGTATATTATACACACTTGAATATTATACTTCGGTATATGTATAACGTATTTCAAAACATTTTATATTCATAAATCATGACACGGCGGGTCCTTTACACCAGTTGGCCTGAAGTACATGGTCATCCTTAATACCCTCCCCCTCCCTTAATCCGGAATTGGCCAGAGTCGGTTGGTACAAAATAGGTATATAATCGCATCGAGCCAAATGACGAACATTTCTAAATCGTTAAGAACTATCTACTCGTGTATATATTTTTATTTATTCCTTATTCCCGACAACATGAGGTTTTCCCTGCCGCTCGGCCGCTCCATCGCTGCTTTCGATCTATCGATCGGTCTCTCGGTCTTTTCTTGTCTGCATTCCACATAATATAATATAATCTCGTGTATCATAATATAGACTATCCATCCGTCAAACGTGTCCAGCCCAACTTTTTCCACGGCTTTTGAGATCTCCAACCTAATCGGGCTCATATAAACATTACCTTCGACTCTGCAACATTTGTCCTTCGTTCGTTTATCATGTATTCTATGATTACGAATCAACCAGCGAATAATATCTACGTCACGTATGAAATACCATTAATTAATATCTAAAAATATCATTAAATAACATTGCTATTAATGATTTAATATCATAAATAGGTATTAATTTAGGTACTTATTATCATAGATTAATTTTACAACCTAACCTAAATGATTAAAACCTAGTGTAGGGAATTAATTTTCAAAAAGAAATTGATTCTCGTTCTTAGTTCCTTTCCCTCCCCCCCATTTATTCCTAGTCTAAACTATTATGTACTATTGTAGTAAAAAATAATTTGCTTTATAAATGTAGACCTGTGTAGTTCATGATTGTTGTGAGACACAGTACAACAAATCAATGATTAGTAAAGCTTTAGCCGTCTTGGACGTTGTCCGGATTACCCTGCGTGGAAGAAACGATTTACCTTTGTACCCACTTTATTAAAATTTGTATCATATCATAGAAATCTTATTTCTATTTTTTTTTTTTTTTTTTTTTTTTGTTCGTTTTATTTAATATTTATTATGTTAATTTTTAAAAAAATATGTACGTTAATGTCGTATTGCTCTGACTTATACGAAATATATATTACAGGTTTGTGATTATAGGTTTTAATATTTAAAAATAATATCATAATGTTCGGAAAATTTAAAAGGAATAAAACTATGCGTTCGCGTTCCCCGTAAATAGGAACAATTTAAGAAAAACGTTATACCGGCATTTACTGTATCAGTCCAACTACCGGGTAACATGCAAACACAGTGCTTACGTAGAATAAGTAAAACTAGCTTAATTTTGATTTTAAAGTAAAAGTAACTATTATACAATTTATAGAAATGATTATTTTGGAAGGAATTTCATAGGATTCTTGTAGTATTCGAAATATACAGCTATAATATAATTGATACAAAAACCTTCTTTTTTTCTTCTTTTTTTTTTTCAAACAACTGTAACTTTTTTTATAGTTCATGTGACATTTCCTCTAAAATATTGTTGTCTGTAAATTTCATAAAGTGTACTATTACTATAAAACAAAATTAAGTTTCCCCGATTCTGCATAAGCATTGTTTATGCATTGTTAACCCAGCAGTTGGACTGAGACAGTCCAACTACAAACTGGTATAACGTCCCCTTAACGTTTTTTTTATTTTAAAAGTAAACGCGTTGCGTACCGCGCTCGGTTTCGTATGTCCCGGCCGCAATGCTCGCGTCGCGTCGAATTCGTGCAGGTTTTCCGAGCCATTTCGTGTTATTGTAGTGATGTTTACCGGCGGTTTTCGACGGTTTCCTGCGAGGGAATAACTAGAGATAGAGAAAAAAAAAAAAAAATTGTATATAATCATACCGCGCGTTCATATCGTAGTATAGGTTAGTTACTCGGACGCTGCGTCTTTGCCGCGGCGGATATGCCTCCGATGACGATGACGAATCGGCGCGAGCGTACATCACAATAATAATATTACACATAAATAAGCTTAAAATGCACCGGGGACGCGTTGATCCATAACGATAATAAATTATTAATTGGTCTATTTGTTTCGAAGGCTGCCGCGGGTACGCGGGTATTTATATTGTGTGTACGTATACACGCACACGTATCGTTACAGTGCGGTACCTATACGTGATGTGTGTGTGTGTGTGTGTGTGTGTGTGATATGTTCTCTCTGCAGTCGCGGACCACATGCGGATTACACTCATACCTATATGCGTATACACACGGGCGATAAATCACCCGGCCCGGCAGCGTCGCGGCGAAACACGCGCGTATCTATTATAATAATACCTATACATATATAATAAAGCTACTTTATTAAATGAAAAAAAAAAAAAAAAAAGAAAAGAAATAATAAAAAATACAGAGATGGCCGGTAGATATATTTCCGCGGTCGCCTCCTCGCGGAGAGCAGCCGGCCGATCGACGACGACTCGGTTAGGCACACACAGACAGCCAGTCGACGAGCGCGGCACAATGGGACGCGGAGTTATTATTTTGACAGCGACAACAATCGCGGTACGTTATATTTTCGGTGTTCGGCGATTTTTATTATATTATGTTGGCGTTTTCGTTTTTTTTTTTTTTTTTATTTCTTTTCCCCGCACAATCGAACGGCCGAAACGAACGTTTATATAAAAACACGCCCGCAGCAATAACGAGACGCGCGGCGGCGGACGCGTCGCCGGCTATTCTCTCGGGCCCAGTCGACCAGAAATTCGGTGTGAAAACCGTACGCGAAAAACACGGCGGCGACGGTGGTGGTGGCGACGGTGATGGCCGCCGCACACGGTCTCGCTGACAAATTTCGCACCCCGCTATCGAATATTATTGTGTTTATTATTATTTCTGTGTGTTTTTTTTTCGGGATTCGAAAAACTGATAACGGGACATCTGTCGCCTCTGACAATACAACACACACACGCTATATTATAATACTATATTATACACTCCATTTGTGTGTGTGACGGTTTATTTCTCTTATTTTTTTTTTTTTTTTTTTTTGACTCCCCTCG